ATTTCAACCAGATGGCAATCCTGGTGAATATCGTGCGACAGCATATTCGCACTTTCTTGCCAGAGATAATCGAGGTCATTAGGGATTTCTGGGACGCTTCGTATCAAATCCAGGGTACGATTATATCCTTGGTCGAGGCGATTGCTAGGTCATTGGAAGGAGAATTCAGGAAGTATCTTGCTGGCCTGATCCCTTTGATGCTCGATACACTTGATAAAGACACCTCGCCTCGCCGACAGCCCTCCGAGAAGATTCTTCATGCTCTTTTGATTTTCGGCACAAGCGGAGAGGAATACATGCATCTCATCATTCCTTCCATTGTTCGTCTGTTTGATCGGCCACAGAATCCTCAGAGCATCCGCAAATCCGCTATCGATAGCTTGACAAAGCTATCGCGGCAAGTCAATGTCTCTGACTTTGCATCCCTAATGGTTCATTCCCTGTCACGGGTCGTGGCTAGCGGTGATCGTGTGTTGCGTCAAGCTGCCATGGACTGCATTTGTGCTCTCATTTTCCAGCTCGGACAGGACTTCACGCATTACATTCATCTTCTAAACAAGGTCCTGAAAACCAATCAGATCACGCATGTCAACTACCAAATCCTGGTGACGAAACTCCAGAAGGGCGACCCACTCCCGCAGGACCTCAACCCAGAAGAGGTTTATTCTTTCCCCACCGATGACACCAACTTTTCCGAAATTGGACAAAAGAAGATTGTTGTCAACCAGCAACATCTCAAGAACGCGTGGGATGCTTCCCAAAAGTCCACCCGTGAGGATTGGCAGGAATGGATACGCCGATTCAGCATTGAGCTGTTGAAGGAATCCCCATCCCCGGCATTGCGTGCATGTGCTAGTTTGGCCGGAATCTACCAGCCGCTCTCAAGGGACCTTTTCAATGCTGCTTTCGTCTCGTGCTGGACTGAGTTGTATGATCAATACCAAGAAGAGCTCGTCCGCTCAATTGAAAAGGCACTTACTTCTCCCAACATCTCCCCAGAGATTTTGCAAATTCTCCTCAATCTGGCCGAATTCATGGAGCACGATGACAAGGCTCTTCCCATCGACATCCGCACTCTTGGGAAGTATGCTGCAAAGTGCCATGCTTTTGCTAAAGCTCTTCACTACAAAGAGCTCGAGTTCGAGCAAGATCAGAACTCGGGTGCGGTTGAAGCCTTGATTACCATTAACAACCAGCTTCAGCAGTCCGACGCTGCTATTGGTATCCTTCGCAAAGCGCAGGCGTATCGCGATGTGGAGCTCAAGGAAACATGGTTCGAGAAGCTTCAACGGTGGGACGAAGCCCTTGCTGCTTACAAGCGACGCGAGAAGACGGATCCAGACTCATTTGGTATCACGATGGGTAAGATGCGCTGTTTGCACGCTCTTGGCGAGTGGAAGGTTCTCTCGGACCTCGCTCAAGAAAAGTGGAACCAAGCATCACTGGAGCATCGCCGAGCTATTGCACCTCTTGCCGCTGCCGCTGCCTGGGGTCGGGGCCAGTGGGAGTTGATGGACTCTTACCTTGGTGTCATGAAAGAGCAGTCTCCGGACCGCTCATTCTTCGGTGCCATTCTGGCAATCCATCGCAACCAATTTGAAGAGGCCAACATGTACATTGAGAAGGCTCGCAATGGTCTCGACACTGAATTGTCTGCTCTTCTCGGAGAGTCATACAATCGTGCCTACAATGTCGTTGTCCGGGTCCAGATGCTCGCTGAGCTGGAAGAGATCATCACATACAAGCAAAACATCGGCGACCCTGAAAAGCAAGATGCCATGCGTAAAACTTGGAATCAAAGATTGCTTGGATGCCAGCAAAACGTGGAAGTGTGGCAGCGTATGCTCAAGGTCAGAGCTCTTGTCACTGCCCCACGTGAGAATCTTGATATGTCCATCAAGTTCGCCAATCTTTGTCGCAAGTCCAATCGCATGGGTCTTGCGGAACGGTCCCTTGCATCTCTAGAGACAGTGGTGTCCGATGCCAGTGGCACGCGCACTGTCGCACCACCCGAAGTCACATACGCCAGGCTGAAATTCAGTTGGGCAAATGGTCATCAACTAGAATCTCTTGAAATGATGAAGGAGTTTACCTCTGGTCTGACCGATGATTTTTCTAGATACAACACACTCATGGTATCAAATGCTGATCATCATGGCGCGAATGGAGTCAATGGGGTCGTCGATCAGAACCACCCAGATGCTATCAGCCTGAATGAACGGATTGGTGACGCCAACAAATTCAGAAAACTTCTCTCCAAGAGCTATCTTAGGCAGGGAGAGTGGCAGACAACTCTACAGAGGGGTGATTGGAGGCCAGAACACGTTCGAGAGGTTCTCAACGCCTATTCGGCGGCGACCCAATACAACCGCGATTCATACAAGGCGTGGCATTCCTGGGCACTTGCAAACTTCGAAGTCGTTACAACGATTTCCAACCAGGCTAACCGTGAGGGCCTGCCTTCGCCGGTTCCTCCTCATATCGTTACAGAACATGTGATTCCTGCCATTCGCGGATTCATTCGCTCCATCGCTTTGTCCTTGACATCTTCGTTGCAAGACACCTTAAGATTACTCACTCTGTGGTTCAATCATGGCGGAGATCATGAGGTGAATACTGTCGTCACGGAAGGATTTACTTCTGTCAATATTGATACTTGGCTTGCTGTTACTCCGCAACTGATCGCTCGAATCAATCAGCCTAATATTAGGGTCCGGGGTGCGGTTCATAGGTTGCTTGCAGAGGTTGGCAAAGCGCATCCTCAAGCCCTTGTGTATCCACTGACAGTGGCAATGAAATCGAACGTGACTCGACGCTCTCAATCTGCTACCAACATCATGGAAAGTATGCGGCAACATAGCGCCAAGCTTGTCGAGCAAGCAGATCTTGTGAGTCATGAGCTTATCCGAGTTGCGGTCTTGTGGCATGAGCTCTGGCATGAAGGTCTGGAAGAAGCCTCTCGTCTCTATTTCGGCGATCACAATGTTGAAGGCATGTTCTCAACACTTGCCCCCTTCCATGATATGTTAGACAAGGGCGCTGAGACCCTTCGTGAGGTGTCATTTGCGCAAGCTTTCGGTCGTGATCTGGCTGAAGCTAAGCACTACTGCATGATGTATCGCGAATCGGAGGAAATCGGCGATCTCAATCAAGCTTGGGACTTGTATTACACTGTATTCCGCAAGATCAGCCGACAACTGCCACAGCTATCGACTCTTGACCTCAAATACGTGTCTCCTCGACTCAAGGATTGCTCAGATCTTGACCTTGCCGTCCCCGGAACATACCAGAGTGGTAAGCCAGTCATTCGAATCATGAGCTTTGACCCGATACTGCATGTCTTGCAGACAAAGAAACGACCGCGTCGTATGACGCTAAAGGGCAGCAACGGAAGCTCTTACATGTACCTTGTCAAGGGTCATGAAGATATCCGACAAGATGAGCGAGTCATGCAACTTTTCGGCTTGTGCAATACCTTGTTGGATAACGATAGCGAGAGTTTCAAGCGACACTTGTCGGTTCAGCGCTTCCCTGCTATTCCATTGTCTCAGAGCTCTGGTCTACTAGGATGGGTGTCCAACAGTGATACATTGCATGCCTTGATCAAGGAATACCGTGAAAGCCGTCGGATTCTCCTCAACATCGAGCACCGGATCATGCTTCAAATGGCACCCGACTATGATAGCCTTACTCTCATGCAGAAGGTCGAAGTCTTCGGTTACGCTATGGACAACACGACCGGCAAAGATCTGTACCGGGTGCTATGGCTCAAGAGCAAGAGCTCTGAGGCGTGGCTCGAACGCCGTACGAACTACACCCGATCGCTCGGTGTTATGTCTATGGTCGGCTACATCCTTGGTCTGGGAGACAGACATCCATCGAACTTGTTGCTGGATCGTGGTAATGGCCGTGTGGTTCATATCGACTTTGGTGATTGTTTCGAGATCGCAATGCACCGAGAGAAGTACCCGGAGCGAGTTCCGTTCCGACTTACTCGTATGTTGACATTCGCCATGGAAGTGAGCAACATTGAGGGTAGCTACCGCATCACTTGCGAGGCTGTCATGCGTGTTCTACGAGAGCATAAGGATTCCCTGATGGCGGTTTTGGAGGCTGTAAGTGACCTGATTTCCTGAAGTTCTCGAACCACACCCACTAACTTTTTTCTAGTTCATCCACGACCCTCTAATCAACTGGCGTCTGGGTACACAAGAGTCCCCCGAGCGAGTGTCTCTCACCGCGGATCGCCGCCAGTCCATCATGGACGGTGTCAATTTCGAACCCGGCGCCCAGCCACCGGGCGATTTCTCCCGTCGCCGCCGCCCATCCATGCTTGAAGGTGGTATCCTCGATGCTCCGGAAGGTGTTCCACAAGAAGCCCGAGAGGCACAGAATGCCCGTGCTCTCCAGGTTCTCGCCCGAGTCAAGGAGAAGCTCACTGGACGAGACTTCAGAAATAACGAAGAGCTGAGTGTCAGCGACCAGGTGGACAAGCTCATTGCGCAGGCAACCAATGTTGAGAATATCTGTCAACACTGGATTGGATGGTGTAGTTTCTGGTGATCTGGCTTTGCTCTTGGAGTTCTATGGCGATGATGATATGATATGATGCGTTTTGTTTCGATTCCTCACCTTGTATTTAGAGTTAACCCCTGTCATTTGCTGTTTTCTCGTTCTTATTTCTAACTTCTTCTACTACACCTCTAATGCTTCTGGTTTATGGTTGCTTCAGCGCCCTTGGTAGTTGTTTGAGGTCGTATGGATATCTCGGCATGACCCTTTTGCGATTCACAAGAGAATAAGAGAACATCCCCATTTTATTATTACATTTTATTCAACGTATTCACCTAACCAATTCCATATTAAAAAGTGTAACTCAGTTCTCGTATGAGATCACGTGATCGGTGGCGATTGAGCTTTGGATCTGCCCGTGGACCTTCGGACAGCAACTTACTCATACCAACTTTTTTTTCTTTTTATTCTTCGAATCTACAAGCATCATGGGTGGAGATCTGAACCTGAAGAAGTAAGTACCGAGTGCCGGCTTCAATATCTACCCTAAGAGAAAAGCATAACACTAACCGCCCAACCAGGTCATGGCACCCAGGCTTGATCAAGAATCAGGAGCGCGTATGGCTGGAAGAGAAGCGCGCTCTCGACGAGCGCAAACAGATCGCGCAACTACAACGTGAACGAGAGGAGGAGCGCCAGATGGAGGAGATCCAGCGCCTCCAAGAAGCCTCCGGAAAGACAAAGCAACACCGCCGTGTCGACTGGATGTACCAGGCACCCTCCACTGAGACCGGGCACTACTCGGAGGAGATGGAGGGATATCTGTTGGGAAAGCGACGCATCGATGGAGTTCTCCTGAAGAACGACCCTGACACCAAGAAGCTGGCGAAGGGTTCGGAGGTGGTGGGAAATGGTGCCGCGGCCGGCCCGTCTATTGTCTCGGCGCGCGATACCATGTCGAAGGTTATGGCGGACCCGCTACTCGAAGTGAAGAAGAGAGAACAGGCGGCTTATGAGGCGATGGTGAAAGAGACTCTCAGACGCAAGGAAAGAGAGAAGGAACGCGGAGATCGCGATCGGGGAAAGGATCGTGACCGTCGCCATCGTACCCACGACTCAAAGCGCAGACGCTATAGTGGTGATGCGGGTGATGACCGCCATGACCGCCACCACCGAAGATCTTCACCTCGCCGACACCGATCTAGATCACCCGGTTCGCCTGATCGATCTTCCCGCAGACACCGAGGTGATCGTGAACGTCGCGACGACGAATACCGCCCAGACAACCGTGACCGAAGGAGCGATGAGAACCGATCTCGCCGGGGCGATAGGGACCGCGGCCGAGACCGTCGCGACTACCAAGACAAGAGAGAGCCCCACTCTAGCCGACACCAAGATCGCGAAGACAGAGGTGGGCGAGACCGCTCACCAGCCCGGAACTCCCGATCTCCTCGCCCATCTAGTGATCGCAAAGAACGCCCCGTCGCTGACGAAGATCGCCGCCGTGACTTCCCCCGGCGCGAATACAATAATCGGCGTGACTCTGGCCGGGCCATGGGGCCACCCTCGACCCGTGCCCCAACAAACAAGCCCGACCCTAAGGAACTGGAAGAAGAACGTCGTCACAAGTTGGCAGAGATGCAAAACAACGCCGCAGAAATCGAATCAGAGCGACTCCGGCGAATCACGGAGATCTCTGTCAAGGAGGAAGAGCAGCGGGAGGCTGACGATCGGCAGCGTTCAGACCGGGGCAGGTTCATGTCTGATGTCAATAAGCGAGTACAGGAGGATACTCTGGATGAACGCATTCGGCGTAGCCGTGGTGGACTTGCGAAGATGGAGGAGGATTAAGACCGTCCTGGTTTCTATGTGGGACTAGGCATTTGCCGTTACTTCAGAGTCTATATTCATGATTTCTTGTTCTCTTTTTAGCGTTACCAGAAGTTTTGATACACAAATCATTGATATCCATTGTGCAAGCTTTTTAGTCTCCTGCAAATGTATTCCAATCTCCATACTCTTTTCAACATTTGTGGAGCTAGGGAGCTCGTCGCCAGCAGGACTGACGAACCACAGCGGTCACTGCATCCCGTTTCGAGTAACGGGAGGCACTTGTCCTGCCTGTCTGTGAGGCCCAAGTTCTTGATCGCATCGTTAGACAATCGGCACACTGAAGCGGAGGCGATCTCTCTTAGAATTCCACGAGGGCTTTTTGTCACCGCCTCTTCCAACTGCGTTACTGTTCTGCGGACTCTTCTTCCTTGGGGCTGGCCCCATAATAGAGGTTCAATCAACTGTATCCGAAGGTGGTTTGGCGCTTTATTCCGCACTTTCACCAAAATCTTTCGGCATTGTCAGAATCATAATTTCGACTACCTGCTTCGTTCGCTCGGGCCGTCTGGTTGGGAGTTTGTGAGAGGAATAGTTTTGCTGACCATCATGATGGTCAACTTAAGGTTTCAGAAAGTTGGCGTTTGAGGCGCTGGACGTACTCAGGCTTATAGGAGGCGATCGTTAGGAATATCTCATGGTTATCTTGTGAGACAAGTAGACGTCTATGAAGTTAGGTCATAATATATCCCTTAGTAGTTAGTTTGATCTGACTTACTAAGAGGAGCGTCTTATATTGTCGTGTATTATCTATACGACCTTCTAGGTTATCTCTTACCATAGAATATCTAGACGCTCAGTTCCCGAATGTTCGGTTTTACCTCAATGATAGAGAAGACGGGTCTAGGAACTTTTGACCTATAGGTTTTAGTAGTGGTTGATATGGTATATGAAGGATATAAAGGATTCTGTTTTGTTTGACAAAGGTCGATTTTAATTGTACACACTCCTTCCAAAAAAGCCCAATGTTTACATTTCTACATGGTAGGCACTATCTAGGTACCTACACGCATATGTCATAAGATATTTGAAAGAGGTCTAAATATTTGGCTGTGGTGTGTCTTTTCAAAGGGTATTTGTGGAGGTCGAACCCTATAGGTATCATCAAGGTTCTTTATCTGCAAGGGCTGATATAAAGTACATATATAGCCGTCTAAAGGGACAAGATGCGAATACCACCAACTGGCTTGCTTAAACGATATCGAACGAACAATTCCGCTGGTGCCGTTTTAATATCCGCAAAGCTCCATAGCTGCGAGTATTGTAGAATCAGTCTCTTTCCGTCGTACGAAGCCTGAATGATTCTCCCATTATGATCGCCCATATAAGAAAGAACCAGAATCTATATAGTCTTAGAAAGTTATCACGTGAAACATGGAAAATCGCTTACTGGATGGATATGACATCTGCGGAACGGTTTGTGGTTCACTCGAATAAGCATCATGTTCACAATGGCTCTCAGCTCGTGGGTAGTGAGGTCCTGGCTTGTATCAGGCCAAATTTGAGCGAGACACGACGTGATTGAATGTGGCTTAAGAGGACGACTGGTGTATCGGTAATGATTGATCACTCGCCACGGTTTTGGATCTTCAAACCTCTCGTAGGTATGAGGGTCGTCTTCTCTCCGGCCCGGGCTACGAATCGTTAGGTGCATATGTATAATTCAATACTTGACTATCTACTTACTCCCAACATTCTTGCTCATCGTCTCTGAGGTCTGCAAGTATGAACCATTTATGCGGTCCGTATCTTCCCGCCTGGATGTGAGACTCAATAACACCCTCTACATCCTCAGCATGTATGTATGGGATCACGCTCTAGCGGAGGATGTGAGAATTGGTCGTATTCCATTCTCCCAATTATTGGAGCGTTTTTAGGGGAATGCTTAGTTAGGGCATCCTTTATATAATCCTTCAAAGTGGGGGTGTAGTTTTTGTTCTCTGGAGAATCTTCCAAGGCCAAAATGTAAATTAGATCTTTCTGAAACGGTTTATCTGGGTGTGGTCGAAAGAAGCACGGGTCGAATTGAAGACCTTCGTTATTTTCGAGGGCCAAGGTACTTGGAATGCTTGAACTCCAAGCCTCTAGAAGTCGTCAGGAGAAGGGAAGTCAGGCTCAAGATCTTTGGCTTATTGAACGAGGGACATGAGAAATGCATGAGGCTGAGCTTGTGTTTCAGCCATGTTAGGTTCTTTAAATGAGTAGAAAAGAAAACCTCGCCAGTCTCAAAAGGATAAAATATGGTATCATTGATATAGGAAAAGGTGATAGTGCCCAGGTGTAGGTATCATACATAATCTTGGATCAAAAACCTGATGCATAACTTTGAACATTCCCGGTTGTTGAATATTTGATTGATTGCGCATTTACCTAGTGAGGAGGTCTAAGCCCTGGAGATATGGCTTGTTAGCTACATAAGGCCCTAAGGAGGGCCCCAGTGTTCAAGCCTAGGAGGACCCATCAACTGTCTAGAAAGGGCTATTACAGGGCATACATATCGCAATACATGATAATAATAAAAAAGGTACACGCTGAATATCCATTAAGCAATGAAAAAGTAGGATACAGAGAAAAAAAAATAAGGAAGCAATGATAAAAATAGAACGAGTTGAAAGTTCTTGATAAATTTGGTCATATGCTCTAGCAACAAGCTACGGTAGTCATACAAGATGTTTCTTGGCAAATAGCTCCCAGCATACACGCGTCCAAGACAATGTCCCCTTCGTGCTCATCAGGTGGTCTACGGAAGATGCTTTCGAAGCTGAGCACCATAGGCACACCATAGACTTGCCATCTTGGTAGCTGATTCTCTGAGTTGGTCGGAGACTGGTCTCAGGGAGACCTCGGGTCTGTTGCCTACCTAGGCAAGGTTCCTCCGTCCATACCTCCATGTCCACTCGCCATACCGGCTGGCGAGTAGCAGTGATGATAATGACTAGCTTGGCGATGTGGTCACCGTGGACATTGCCTACATTGGAATTGATGTGCCATGACTGGACATCATTGCATAGCCGGCGAGACCTAGGTGGTGGTGGTAGCGGGCCCTATTCAACACTCATTATAATCTGCTGCCGTGGGGACAACACTGACCTCAACAGTCTGTATCAGGAACAACTTACCTATCACTATGCTATAGGCTTGTGCCTCAATGGCGACGGGGCCGCTGGTGTTGGCCGGTGGGGAGGCCTGGGGGAGGAGGAGGAGGTGGTGTTGGCGGCGGGGGGAGCAGTACTGTTGGAGGCGGCTGCTGAGCACACAATGTCAGCACTTTGTTCGCTCATCCCGGAGAATTGTTCGGGATATAGACGCACCCTCATTGGCGGCAGTTTCGGGTGTGTATGTGTTAGCCTTTTTTCTGTGCAGAATCACAGCGACAGAGCACAGCAACACGAAAAAAAATAAAGTGAGAGCGAAGGAGAACTCTTGAGTAATATATCATCGACAACAACATGACATACCCTTTTCTGCCTTTTTCGCCTCGAAAGGCGCAGTGGGAATTGCGTTTGGTCTGCAGTAACCACATCCAGCCTTTCCCTGAGGAGAGCAGGCACATCACATCATATTGAGGGCCGCCAACGCCCTCAACGGCGACAGTCAACCTCCGTATGGTTTGGGAGGAGGCAAAAGTAACAAAAACTGACAGCAGACACGAGAAACAAAGGTAGCAGAGAGGTGTGTTGACAAGGGGAAGTTCCTTTGGCTGGCTAGGTGGAAGTCCCTGCTTTTATTCCAAGGGCTCCTTGCTTGCACAGAGGTTTTTTTCTCCCAAAATAATGGATACATGTACCTACGTACCTGCCGTATAGGCGAGGCAAGTGATTGAAGACTATATGTACACCTCAGCTAATAAGTCCCGCTTATATAGTGTTGCCATGTCTTTTTGATACTCGTTTTTGAAGTCTTTAACTCGATCTCACTGGTAGGAGCCACGCTACCAACTGCCATCTCAGACCTGAGATTCACTCCACTCGTCCTGTGCAATATGTCACCAGTAGCTGGAATACCGGTAGCTTGCTTGATGCTCTGTGGATGGATATTGTCATGATCCTTGGCGAGGCGGAATACTGAGGGTTAGGGTTGAAACCATCCCAATTCTGTATTAGTTACTGCTACGCCGCAACTGGAAGGTTACCGAACAAGGGCGCTCTATGATTCTGTTCTGAAGCAGCAAAAGACGACCTATGAATTTTTAGCTCTGACCAAGTCGGCAAATATGTTGTGTGCCTCATCAACGATACCTTGATCATCTGGGCCTTTGACTGTCTCTTCGAGAAACGCGCTGATATCATCAAACCCCAATTTGGCATTTTTCATAATATAAACAAGTAATATACATGCCACTACTTAGCCCGGCACTTGGAAACAATCCCCTGGAACTGATTGTCCAACGCTTCAATCTCGGCACCCAACCCCTTCACATCATTCTTGGTCATATCCCTCCTAGCAGTGCCCATGGATTTGAAACTGTCCGGGTCTCGCATGCCACTGAACATCAAAGTCTCTAGAATGATGAGCGGTGCCATCTTGGGATCTTCAACAATAGAATATATTGTGGTGGCACCGATGCCAGCATCACCAATCATCGTGATAACCCGCGCTAACCCCGTGAAGGCATCTGCCACCAAATCCAACTCGCCTAGGAAGGGAATCACCAAGAGTACCCCCATCAGGATATTATTGATCAGCTCCTTCTTTTTAGCAGCGTCGTAATCATCTGCCACGTCAACAACCGCCTGCATATTGGTGACCGCTTGGCTCAGCAGAAACACGGCCATGGACAGCGTCTGCACCACGTCGTCCGTCGATCCCATCCACGACCCCAATGCCAGCTCGATCTTTGCCACACTGATTGTCTCGGTGAGATTTTGGATATTGGGCATTGCCTGAGTCATGATGTCTTTGGGATTGGTCACAGTGATATCGCTGTCCGGTCCCTTGACTGGGAATCCTTCGTACTTGCTATGCAGCTCCTCGCAGCCATCCTTGAACATTGCTGGAGTACAATCCAGATCCAGGCTGGTCTCACCAAAATCTATCCAGTCTTTTTCAATGCCGTACTTATCGGAAACAGCGCTGTAGAATCCGTCCGCGTCTATCAGCTCGTAGTAGACTGTGAAGGTGCCGCCCGAGATGCCGATATCCCCTGGACAGGAGCTCACTGTGTTGTTCACTCCAAGGTGGCTAAAAGTGCACTGAAAGAACTGGTTGCCAGGTCCGTAAGGGCTTTCGGATCTCATGAAGTCCTTCAGCTGGCTGTTGATGGTCTCCTTGACATACTTGACGTAGTCGTTGAATTTGGAGTCGTAAGACCCGGTGATATCCGAGTAATTGCTCAGCATCTGATTGAGCTCTGCCCGCAACCCGTCTAGCGTGTGGAAGCCAATGCACGCGGGATCGACTTCGTCAATAGCGGCTTCAAGGGCATCAAGTGTGGCGTAAGACTTGGTGAAATCACAGATAGTAACCGACTCGCATTCTGGGTCGGAGCCGTCGTCGTCCTCGCAGTTACCGCTTGTAGCTTTCTTGTTGTTTACACAGACAGGAGATGGGCAGTAGTCTCGCTCACAGGCAAAGTTGCAGAGCCCGCTATCGCCCCCAACAGTGGATCTGCCGATGATGCTGCTGTTAGCTGCATGGGGCAGGTTCAATGGACCGGTGGCCGTGCAAGTACAGCTATGGATAGGACAATAGCCCACATCACAAGCGTAGCTGCACAGACCGGCAAAAGAGCCGGAACCAGTTCCCGCTGTACATGTATCTGGAGTGAAGGGCGAGACGGTGGGTACGGTGAGCGCAACTTCGACCGTGCCACAAACACCCTCAATGCAACCGCCGTAGTTACAAGCAAATGAGCAGAGACCACTATAGCTGGCGCTCTCGCCGGCAACAGGATACCCCTGGATCCCCGTAGCTTTGGGCAAGGTCGGTTGCGGACCCATTTTTGAGCACACACAGGCTCCCACTGGACAATATCCTAAGCTACAGGTAAATTCGCATAGACCTTTAAAGTTGCCCTTGCCCCAGCCTTCGATGCAGACCTGGTTAGCCAGTGAAGCTGGCTTGACTGAGATCGAGTTTCCGGCCATTTCACTGCCCACCCATGCGTTCCAGTTTTCGATTTCCAAAGAACTAGAACATCCGCTCGAGATCATCTGGCCTCCAAGAGAGACCACAGTAGTCCCAGATCGAGTGATAGTGATCGTGACACCGCCGGAGTGCCCAGTAAATGCGACACTGCCGTGATAGATTCCCGCATTTCCACTAGGAGTATGCGTCCAAGCGGCACCTAGGTTGACTCCTCCGACCGTGACCACAACCTCGGCGGCCGAGCCAAGTAGAGCAGAGTAGAAAATTTTATCCTGGGGGATATCTTTAGGCTTGTACTCGAGCTGGAGCTGAGACACTGTGTTTCCTGTAGTGCCACCGTCGGATCCACATGCCCCGGCAGCATTCAGACGGTACCATGCGGAAACACCCTCCTCCGTGATAGTTGTAGCGTTCTTTTTGTAGGTATCGATGAGGAAGGGCAAGAATGCCCGCCATCCGCTATGGTCATAAGTCTCCACGTAGTTGTACGGCGACTCGCCATATCCCTGGCCAAACGCCACGTAGCTAGCCGCTGCCAGGTCGTTGTGACTATCATAGGTGGGCCCAATGTAGTGAGATTCGCCGTAGTCATTCCACGAAATGATCTCCACAAACTCGGGTGCGAGAAATAGTACTTGCTGCCAGCGGTCATACCACAAGTCGTCTCCTCGCCATAGCCAGTTTTTATTATAGCCAGGCATATTTGTAAAGAACCAGGGGGAGACGGGCATCATATAGGGCTTTCCAGCGAGGTATTGTTGGTACGAGGCATCGCCGTAGGTATCCATGTCAGAGTCACCGTATGGCCAGGCAGCCCAGCTGAAGAGACCATCAGCTACTCCATTAGCCTGTTCCATAGCCACTTTGGCCCCGAGTGAAGACCAATCTGGCACAAAGAAACAGTTTGTCTGTTTCTTAATGTCCGCCCAGTCGGCAGCGTTGCCAGGACCTTCAAAGGTCGAGCACAGAGGTTGGTCGTTATAATGCCAGTAGGTCAGAGAGCTTCCGCCATAAGAATTGAGGAGGCTGATTACGTCGCTTTTATCCCAGGCCCCGTTTCCCGCATAATCAAACGAGAAAAACAATCGGAACCCGATATTTTGAGCAGCCAGAAAAGCATTGCCTAGAGAGCTCTCGGTGGTGCTCTCGCCGTTGGCGATATTCAGGGCAAACGCATCGATGTGTGCGTGGATAGCCTCAGTCATATGGTCTTCCCAGTCAGAGACTTTATAACCGGCTGTGTTGGAAACCTAGAAAGTTAGCTCGACTACTCACTCAATTGGATTACTGCCAAAAAAGAAGGATATTACATACCATGAAATGTGCAAACACTGCCCTCGCCTGGACTTGGCGAAGTAGGATGCATGTCGCAGTAATTAAAATACAGAACAGCCGCATTTATAAACGAATGAATGAAAGTATAGAAAAAGATAGACGGAAGATAAAGGGAAACCCCGTGAAAGAAGAAGAAGAAGAAATGAAATGTGATCAATGAAAGACTGAAGGTGAATCGAGGGTAGGCATTTAGCTAGTCACCGATAGGAGGGCAGGTGGTCTTTAAATGCTGCCCAGGTGTACCTGGATGAATGGAAAATGACAAAACTACATAGGTAATGGATAGCCATACCTAGGTAAGTCGTAATATCTGGTATCTCTGTCACCGCCACCAATATCAACGGGCCACTCTTAGTGTCTTCCGTGGTCTAAGCACGAATGGAGACGCTAATATAGCTTCACTCCTGGGGAAATTGCGTATTCTCTCCGAAGGATCCATATACTAACCAAGCCTCGCTAAGACATACTAAGAAAGACTATCGAACCTTGGAAGCGACACCCCCGTTTTTTTGATGCGAGCTAATTTGGTTTTGATTGCGATAGTATCCCTCCTCGCACATTTTAACTATATATTAGGCCGAGTGAAGTGGAATATCCAACACTAACCATCCACTTTTGTCACTCTTGACATCTTCTTCATTATCGATCATCATTGATTCTCGAAAACATACTCATCTCTATATCTACATCTCAACCCCACCAAAATGAGAGCCTCGCTTGCCTTTCTTTGGATCTTTGCCATTTTCCCCCGCATTGCTGTTGCAGTGACGGGCGGCTCCCAACTCGCGCACAACTATGAAGCGATTTACTTCTATTACGGTTATTTGGCCGACGTCGCCATCAATGGAGATCTTCGCACCCTAGGTGTTAAGTGCAGCCCAACGTCTGGTACTGTCTGTACCTTCTTGGAGTTCATCAGAAGCATCGAGAGCGATTTTGATGCCGCGGTCCTACCCAAGGACAACGAGCTACCACCCGAGGACAGCAAGCTAGGAGCGACAACAACTAGGCCAGGAGATTTGAAAGAACTGGCCACTGCGATGACTAGATGGAAATATAATAGATATGTCGCCGATAATTTGGTTTCAGGCGGCAAGCAACGGCACAGTGAAGTCCTCTTTAGGACGACCGAGATCCTCATCAACGCGCGTGACAACCACCCGACTGTTCTGGCGGGAGATCTTCTTGAACGAGCCAAGAAAGCGCTAGTGTATGTTCAGGCAGAGCGCGAGACTGACAGCCTCCAAGATAAGAAGAAATTCTTTACTGCGGAGTTTGCAAAATTGGTGATTGTGGAGAAAACTGTTGGGTTGGAGAATGAGTTGGTCTCATTCCAGGACATCGATTGGCAACAATCAGCGGTGGAAACCGCTTCGAAGTACGGAGGATCACAGCAAGGTTTTTTGGAAGGATTTGAGGATTTTGCCCGGCATATGACTGGGAATCCCAATATCCCAACCCAATTCCGGGAACATACGTTGATTCTGCAGAGCATCCGCACGCAGTCCGATTCATTGGGGAGTGTTGAAAGCTGCAGAGCGATTGGGTAGCTTAGATTTGGACGTGGCTTTGTGATTTACTGTGTAATATCGTTAAGATAGTAATGTGTATAATATAAGATTATTGAGGCCGTCTAGTCCACTCACATCCATGGATGTTACCCCGCACGGCGATATAACTCGATTAGGAAAGGTCAGGGGTGGAGACCCTATTGGGTTAGACTTGCTTGCTTGCACTATATCTCCAGGGCTTATCTTCTTAGCTTTCAATACATTTAATACATGAGAGCCCCAATGTCAAGCCTCAACAACACCGATGGTCCACTCCAGATCCCTGGATTTGGCTCCATTCCCTTGAACTATGAGCTCCCCCCAAGACCCGCTTTGCTCATGGGCTAGTCGAATATCGCCATTCGCCGCGGTTGACAATGCGCGAGATGGCCATGCTCCGAGTGATGCAACATATCACGGAACAACCCGGATGGGACCAAGCGCTACTAGATACGGATGAGACTCGGCTCGCGCAATGGCGCCAAGAGGCAGTAGCAACTGAAGAGTTTCTTATCAGCGCACCAGCCTGGGATTGGTGCATCGCAGAGCTACGAGACAAGGCGCAGGCCTGGCAAGAAACCGGCCGCCTCCTAGTGTTTGATAGCTCTTCTGCTGTATGCCAGGCTAATGTGCCACTGCTGCAGAAGGATATCCAGACAGAGGTATCCCAGTTAGGAACGCAAGCCAGTCACGACTCTCCCCTGGTAGATCCATCCGAGTTCCCTCTTGTTTACGACCGGTCCCCGGTGTTGGTCGAAGGTGGACGGGTATCCCTTCATGACCCCTGGCTTTTGACCGGACAACCCGCGAAAGAGTTGCCGGTCCATCCCCTTGATCAAATGCGTTGGCGGCCTCGTGAGGTATCCCGCAGCAATGGAGGGCCACAAAGCTGCTGGTCTAATCGGTTTCAGTGGCTGCCATGTGAGGTAGAATTTGCTTCCCCAACCACATCCACGCCTAATGACACACCAGATGTTCGCATCACCTCTTACGTCAATAATCTACACCCGCATCACAACCAAAATTTATATGCGCACTTAGAACGACTCATTTCTTGTTCTATCCCTTCCTGGAATGAGATCTTGTTCTACGGAGAGGCACGCGGTCGTCATCCGCCACGTATCCTTACCTACGGTTGCCATATTGAAAACTATCAAGAGAAACATGAAGTTTTTGAAAACCTATCTCCTATGCTCCATTGGAGTGACTTATGTGATTCGGAGCAGGAATGGCAGGAGAAGTGTGATCAGGTCCGCGAGTATGTTTTGGGTCCAGAGCCACCCGTATGGAAGCAAGCGAGACGTCTACCAATGCTGCCTGCCAATTTGCTAGAATCACTTACCACTAAGGATTGGGAAGATCCGCGGCGAGTCAGCAGGATCGCGAGGTCCAAACGCATCCGTCGGGCCTGGTTTGATCATCCCGAGCCCGGGGTCTCATTTTCCTACGAGCAATGGAAGAAAGGCCAGTTCACCGGTCGAGCGATCGTTCCACAGAGAATAGGCAAGTTCCCGGATCCGTTACACCACGACTACGTTCCAGTGTGCCTAGAGGACAAGTTCCAGAAAGATGGACTACAGGTGATAGTACAGATTTCGCGCATTGACCTAACCCCGGAGAGTCCGAGCTACAAAGGAGAGGCGTATTTCCACACCGAAGGTCTACGGAACGAACATATTGTGGCCACAACTATGTATGTGGTTGAAGCGGAAAACATCACACCAGCCCGGGTGGCGTTCCAGCATGAGGACAAGGTGCACGCAAGCGAGTTGGAATGTAAACAGCCAGACGCAATGTCAGCGGTTCTAGATGTTGACTATTGGGAATCATTCGAGGAAACCCCTCCCCGGGGAGTGCACACCTTCGGTTCTGTTCCGATGATTGAGGGCCGTCTTCTGAGTTGGCCTAATACCCTCCGTTCAAAAGAGGAGCCATTCAGCCTAGTGAATCCACATCAGCCTGGTCACTTGACTATTATTAAGCTCCGGTTGGTTGACCCTCATTATCGAATTTGTTCGACGCAAAATGTGCCCCCGCAGCAGCATGACTGGTGGGCTGCCGCGGCGCGGCATGCATCGAACTTGGACACCCGTTTGCCTCCGGAATTGGTGCATCTTGTGATGGAGCAGACGAAATGGTGGCCGATGTCTACTAAGGAGGCACAGCGTCTGCGTGAAGAGTTTCGACGTGATCACCAACGTGCAAAAGAAGCTGCCGAGAAAAGCGAGGGATACCACCTTAGTGCGTTGCTTCCTTACGATTCACCTACTGATGCTACTGAATCAACTGGGGTTGGGGCCGAATCTCCTTAATTTCCGAGCGAAACACATCAAGTCATGGGAAATCATCTATGCGATAGGGGCCAAAAAGACGAGTCATCTACATCTAGGTAGGGAATCTACTGTACTCATGACGCTTAATCCGGAGACTTCCGTGCCTAGACTTTGTGTAATACAAAAGAAATAAATCATAATATTATAAAACAAGATAAAAGAAAATGGCCACCAGACGAAATTAAACACTACTTCAGCCCAAGGATCTAGCGTTATAGCTAGCAGTTCTGTCGATGTAACATTAGCAGTTCATGTGTTTTATAGCGACGCCTACATTCAAACCGACTGGAGACACCAACCCAGAAAAGCATTGTCTAAAGATTCAGATGAGGGTAGTTAACTATTAGCGTCGGTGTGGTCCCAATTGGTGGTGTAAGCGTCGGTGTTGTCCCAATTGGTGTAAGCGAAATTTCCCCCTACACGAGGCTAATGATCGCTTCTATGTCGGCACCACGGTAGCGCTATTTAGCGCTATTTAGCGTCACCTTGTTGGCCCCAGTACTCCGTACAGGGTTTAGGAGTTGTCTTTTGTCTTGAATTCATTTCCATAGCGTGCTGCTGTTGTGGAAATAGACCTCGGTGACTCCTTCCAGATTTAGCAGATTATTCCTTATCTACCAAGTCTTGACGCTCCAGGCTGATATATATTCCACCTATGTACGGAGTACCTACATGTAGTTACCCCAAGTGTGCTATCAGATACAGCGTCTTCGCTGGATACCCTATATCCAACCATGATGTTCAATTTTCTGAGCCTCAGTGCTTTGTTTGCCCTTCAGGCAGCAGCAACTATCTCGCCTTCCTCTTCGGCCTGCACAGAATCAGTTAGAGATAATACCATCTCTTTCTTCAGTCATGCACCTTTGACCTTTTCATATGAGGTGCCCAATGCCCCTGCTTGTGCTGGAAAGTGTGCCGGTATATCTTCATGTCTTGCCTGGCTGTATTCCACATCGGGGCAAGAATGTCAACTATACCGTCAGAAGCCGTTATCCCAAATGAATAATCCCCATTTTGTATCGGGAATTTGTGGAGAGGCCCTTGCCTCATCTCAGATTGTCTCTTCTTCATCAATCACTCAGGTAAGCTCTCCTTTCTCTTTTTCATCTTTTGCCTCTTTCCTTCCCCGTCTTATTGACATCTACTTTGCTCGGTCTACCCCTGCGTTTCCTATAAGAACCTCATCACTAACGAACAAGGCCCAGCACCAACCGACCCCGTTAAACATAGTTACAAAACGCGAACATGCTGCCCATCACCATCGTAAACATGGACATGGTCACTCTTTCTAACAAGCAGGCCACCATATCTGCTATCATGTATAATAGACCTCATGTTATAGTTCTATTTCCATGTGACAATCTTCTTCTACTCTCCCGCATACTTTTAGAAACGATTTACCATGAGTTCATATCACTCTCATACACGACTAAACAGAGACAAACAAGAGCTAAAAATTATATATTATCTGATGGGCTACTTATCAAAGATTATACATAGAAAAGTCGTCTGCACAGAGTATGCTTTTTATCTAAGAGGACATCAGAAAAGACATCCAAAAAGAACATCCAAAAGCATATCGAAGGGTTGTTACATATAGGTCGTCCCTTTGCCCTTTTTTTACTCCCGACTGATGCGAGTGCAATAGTTTGGGGGAAATATTTGGGAGGTCCACTGTAGCGGGCTGCCGGTACATCTATGGATGTATAAGACTAAGATTATATAGGTACCACTCGACGGAAAGCTGTAACCAGTACTCATGATTTTGAGCGGCATGTATCATTCCTTTCCCGTAGAAAATACTATCAAGGCTTTGGTCGCCCCGTTGAAACGAATCGCGTGACTCCCTGTCGTAAATCGACGATGTTGATAGTCTGACCAATGTAAGAGAAGAGGGGTATAGCATGTGATTATCTATCTTTCCAGTGTGCAGAATGCAGTATGATGTACATAAAATAATGGAAGAAAAGGATGAATATAGTAAACATCATCTCTCCTATCCCTCCATGGGACAAATTGCTCAATCACTGACATCGAAACTTGTCCCGCAACCGCAATTACTTGTTGCGCGGGGGTTATCCACAATCTTGAACTGGCTCCCGATCAACTCGGTGGTATAGTCCACGGTGCTGCCGTGCAGCAGCTCGAGCGAGGGCTCATCCATAACGACCTTGGCCTTGCCGGCTGACTCTGTTGAAGCTTCATCTGCTTCTCCTTCAAACACGGTATCCTCTTCCGGATCAATTTTAGAAGCCCCCTCTAGGGACATCATATATTGGAAACCATGGCATCCGCCACTGGTCACTGTGATGCGAAGATGGTGGTATGGATTCTCTTCCTTGATGGCGGAGGGAGAGGAGGTTGGGTCTGTGATGTCGCGGAGACGCTGCGCTGGGTTAGCTTCATGATTTACAAAAATAAAATATAAACTCCCAAAGGAAGGGAAGCAAAAAAACGAAACAAGAAAAAAAAAACATGCAACAGTGAGGATTCGCTGGTGGTCACCCACCCAACTACTAACTCACCGGCGTGTGGCTTAAGTACGGCTGAGCGGACGGGAAGCCCTGTTTTCCACACCCTATGGTCGCATGTACTTGGAAAGCATCTGAAGGGCCCAAGGCGCGGTCCTAGGGTCATCCCATGTCGGCTGAAAGCAAGCCGACACCGAGACAGACCCTCGGCACTTGGTGCCCATGCAGCCCAGACAGCTTCCCACCCGCCCGAGCACAAGCCAGATAGAAGAGCAAAGAAAAGCAGGCAAACCAAAAGCAAATAAATCCATTAGAAACTCACCTCCGCAGCTCGTGGCGAAATACCAATCATAAGGGATTGTCCATCATCTCCGGTTCTCGGGTTTTGCGTCACCTTGGTGGCAGGACGGACGGACGAGGCAGAAAAACATGCATGTTGCTGGCGGATATAGCGAGAGGTTGAGGATTGAGGTGCTGAGCGTTTGAGAGGAGGCGCGCTACTTGCGACAGCGCTTGGCCGGCGAGGAACGACTTCGCCGGCGGAGAATGCGGAGAGGCACAAAGCCGGTCGGAAAGTTGAGAAGAGCCGGCACGTTTGTGGCTGGGATAAACGCCGGACGGCCGTCGATGAGAATAAAGGACGTGACATGGCTGATATGTGAAAGAATGAAATGCTTCAAGAAGAGAAAGCAGAGAGATGAAGAACACTTGATATCAAATCATCCCATTCCGATTACATCGGGTGGGTTAGTCAGTTTAGCTGTGACGCCATTGGCCAAATAAAGTCGGAGAATATGGACAGAATAATATCCCCATCGGGAAGGGATCGGCGGATGGTGGGGGACTGCAGATAAATGTATCAGCCTTCCACCGTTGTATGACTCTATGCTGAAGCTCTGATCTGCTAGAGCTCTCATCTTCCTGAAATATACATGTGCAGTCCCAGTAACTAGCTGAGGTCTAGGTCTGTTGTCATGGGTTCCCGACAGCATGTTCGGGACATCAAAAGCGGCTCCCCGCTTCCCTATACAGAGGATATCAGAGCTTACAAGAAAGAGTATGCCGAAGCTCTTGATGCTCAAGACCCGCTTCGGAATTTCCGGGATGAGTTTATCATTCCATCCAAGAAGGATCTCAAGCGGAAGACTCTGGCAGTAGACGAGAGTGCGTATCAGGATCTCTTGTATATCCAGGCGTCCGTTCTAATATTTGGCTTTCTTCCATCTCGTTAGGCAATGAGGCATCTGATGAAAAGTGCATCTACTTCTGTGGTAACTCACTGGGAGTCCAACCTCGTAGCACCCAGAAATATATCGAGCAGTATTTGCGAACCTGGGCAACGAAGGGCGTGACCGGGCACTTTGTGCCGCATGATGATCAATTGCTACCTCCTTTTGTCGATGTTGACACCGCAGCCTCCAAGCTTATGGCCTCAGTTGTCGGTGCCTCTCAAAGTGAAGTGGCAGTTATGGGCACCTTGACTGCCAATTTGCACCTGCTGATGGCAAGCTTTTATCGCCCGACCAAAGATAAGTATAAGATCATACTGGAGGGCAAGGCTTTTCCCAGTGACCATGTATGTCTCTCAGTTGTGCATTCCAATTGTGGACTTACCTTCTGGTACTAACACGAGTGCAATTCAGTATGCGGTTGAGTCTCAGCTCCGCCATCATAACTTCGATCCGAAGGACGGCATGGTTTTGATCGAACCCAAGGATCTAGATCAGCCTACCCTGAGCACGGAACAAATCATCAAAGTGATCGACGACAACGCTTCCAGCGCCGCACTCGTCCTCCTCTCGGCTATTCAGTTCTACACAGGGCAGTATTTCGATATTGAGCGGATCACGGCTCACGCGCACTCTAAAGGCATATTGATCGGCTGGGACTGTGCTCACGCCGCCGGCAATGTGGATTTGAGACTTCACGATTGGAATGTGGATTTTGCAGCCTGGTGCAATTACAAGTATCTCAACAGCGGACCGGGTGGAATAGCAGGACTATTTGTCCATGAGCGCCACGGCTCTGTAGATGAGAAACAGCCCGAAAGCGACGACACATTCCGGCCTCGACTCTCAGGCTGGTGGGGTGGAGATATCAAAACGCGTTTCAACATGGAAAACAGTGGGTGATCTGATTCTGATTTATAAACAGGCGAGACTGACGACTATAGAATTTTTGCCACAACCCGGTGCCGCTGGATTCCAGCTGTCGAATCCCTCTGTTTTAGACATTAACGCGGTCATCGCATCTCTCGAAATCTTCAACCAGGCAACAATGGAGGAAATTCGACAGAAATCCCTCAACATCACGGGATATTTAGAACATCTTCTGATGAAGTATCCTCTAGACGCGGCCCCGGAAGATAAACCATTCACCCTCATCACGCCATCAAACCCAGCCGAGCGAGGTGCTCAGCTCAGTCTACGTCTCCAGCCAGGGTTGCTAGATCATGTTCTGCATTGCCTAGAGGAGAATGGGGTTGTTATTGACGAGAGGAAACCCGAC